CCACACTGAGATACCATCTCACCCCAGTTAGGATGGCTAAAATCCAAAAGACTCTGAACAAGGGCCGGCCCAGTGGTGCGCTGGAGAGTGCGTCGCTTGGGAGTGTGGCGGCGCTCCCGCCGAGGGTTCGGATCCCATGTGGAGACCGGTTCCCGCTCACTGGCTGAGCGCGGTGCGAGCGCAACACCGAGAGTTGCGATCCCGTTGCCGGTCCCCAGTATCGGCGCGACACCGAGGGTTGCGATCCCGTTACCGGTCAGTAAAAAAGAGACAAAAAGGAAAAAAAAAAAAGACTCTGAACGATAAATGCTGGCAGCCTTGTGGAGAAAAAGGAACTCTCATACATTGTTGGTGGGACTGCAAAATGGTGCAGCCTCTATGGAAAATGGTATGGAGGTTCCTCATACAATTATCCATCTACCATATGATCCAGCTATCCCACTGCTAGGAATATACCCAGAGGAATGGAAATCATCAAGTCGAAGGTATACCTGTTCCCCAATGTTCATCGCAGCACTCTTTACAATAGCCAAGAGTTGGAACCAGCCCAAATGTCCATCATCGGATGAGTGGATACGGAAAATGTGGTGTATCTACACAATGGAATACTACTCACCTATAAAGAAGAATGAAATACTGCCATTTGCAACAACATGGATGGACCTTGAGAGAATTATATTAAGTGAAACAAGTCAGGCACAGAAAGAGAAATACCACGTTCTCACTTATTGGTGGGAGATAAAAATAAATAAATAAATAAATTCACACACACACACACAAAAGAAAAAAAACCGGGGGGGAGAAGAAGACATAACAATTACCATTCCTTGAAGTTGACATGACAAGCAAACAGAAAGGACATTGTTGGATGGGAGGGGGGAGAGGGAAGAGGGAAGGAGGGTTCGGTAATGGGCCACAATAATCAACCACATTGTATATCGACAAAATAAAATTAAAAAAAAAATTCACAAAGCTAATAAATGGCAAAAAAATAAAAATAAAAATAAAAATTTGGAACTTAAAAAAAAATAAAGTATAGATTTATAGACTAGAAAAAGAAAAGTCTCTGCAAAAGAATTTTACATCTATAAAGGAAATCTTTATTTGTAAAGGTATATCCCCCCTCCACACACCTAAAAAACTAGAGACTTTTGCAATGAAGAAGACATTTATTCAAAGTTTACATAACAAACTTTACCTTTGCATAAGTTGCTTTTTCTGTAAATTGTCTTAACTGGGCCTTTATTTGTTTGGGCAAAATGTCTGTCCTGTTTCATCTGG